GGGCCAGCCAGAGGCTTAGGGCCCGCGCAGTGGGCCAGCCAGAGGCTTAGGGCCCGCGCAGTGGGCCAGCCAGAGGCTTAGGGCCCGGCGCAGTGGGCCAGCCAGAAGTTTAGGGCCCGCGCAGTGGGCCAGCCAGAGGCTTAGGGTCCGCGCAGTGGGCCAGCCAGAGGCTTAGGGTCCGCGCAGTGGGCCAGCCAGAGGCTTAGGGCCCGCGCAGTGGGCCAGCCAGAGGCTTAGGGCCCGCGCAGGCGTATCCCTGTAAAAAAAAAAATCCACGATATATAAAATATTTTGAAATTTAAAACGTAGACAAGGAGCAACTCTTTGACATGAACGGGACACGAAGATGGAGACACAAGGAAAGTGCCGGAATAAGACAGAGGGTATAAAATATAAATCCCCTCAGAGTCAAGAGCAGTTAAGTAGGACAAACAAGGGCGGCCAGTACCGGAGACACACTATACACGAATTCCAGTGTCCGCATAACAAAGCAAATTGTTCGCTAATCTGTTGTTGATAGACAATTAATAGGTGTGCCTGACCCAAGTGCTGAAGCCCAACCCTCGTACACACAGCCATGTGAGCACAGCTAGGTAAGCACATAGTGTTATATAAGAGCACATACAAGCACTCACAGTACCACAAGAGATAGTTCTTGAGGAGGGGGCCCCTGGCGGAGGGGCCCCTGGCGGAGGGGCCCCTGGCGGAGGGGGGCCCCTGGCGGAGGGGGGCCCCTGGCGGAGGGGGGCCCTGGCGGAGGGGGGCCCCTGGCGGAGGGGGGGGCCCTGGCGGAGGGGGGAGCCCTGGCGGAGTTGGACCCTGACAGAGGGGGGGGGGGGCTGGCGGAGGTGAGGCGGCGCTAATGAAGGTGAGTGGAGGAAGCGCAAGGTTGTACTAGGGCTTACCTTGGGGTTCAATGCTCCCACAACACCAGTCAGAGTTGCTTGCTATACGCCCCTGACTCCCGCCTCACGCCTACTGCCCGCATTCATCCGCTTCTACTTTATCTCGCTCCAAAACCTTCCATCCATTCATTCCCAGATGTCTAGTTTCTCACCAGAACATCTAAATGCATGTTATGTTCCCCGTGTATTAATGGTAAGACGGCCCCTTCCAAGACTCATTGTTGGCCCCCCACACCTGCCAGGTGGTACCCTGCCTCTCCCCCAGGGTGGCACTGTCGGCCCCCACACCTGCCAGGTGGTACCCTGCCTCTCCCCCAGGGTGGCACTGTCGGCCCCCACACCTGCTAGGTGGTACCCTGCCTCTCCCCCAGGGTGGCACTGTCGGCCTCCACACCTGCTAGGTGGTACCCTGCCTCTCACCCAGGGTGGCACTGTCGGCCCCCACACCTGCCAGGTGGTACCCTGCCTCTCCCCCAGGGTGGCACTGCCTCTCCCCACACCTGCCAGGTGGTACACTGCCTCTCCCCCAGGGTGGCACTGCCTCTCCCCACACCTGCCAGGTGGTACACTGCCTCTCCCCACACCTGCCAGGTGGTACACTGCCTCTCCCCACACCTGCCAGGTGGTACACTGCCTCTCCCCAGGGTGGCACTGCCTCTCCCCACACCTGCCAGGTGGTACACTGCCTCTCCCCCAGGGTGGCACTGCCTCTCCCCACACCTGCCAGGTGGTACACTGCCTCTCCCCCAGGGTGGCAGCTGGCAGCACTGGGGTCCGCACTCTCAACCATGGCAGCTACAGTGTATCAACAAGTTTCCGGTCAACGTTGAGACTGGCGAAGCAGCGCCTGGCGTAGTCCGTCCTGGGGGGGGGGGGGAAGCCTGGGGGGGGGGAAGCCTGGGGGGGGGAAGCCTAGGGGGGGAAGCCTGGGGGGGGGGGAGTGTAGCACAAGGAAAGAGGAAAAGTAGCTCTTGTGCTCCCATGCACCAGCCGGGGGGGGGGGGAGGGGGCGTAAAGCACTCTCCCGACCAGACAGTGTCTCACGCCGCTGTGGTCACCCTCCGTAACTCTTACATAACTCTCCTGTACCGGTAACACCTTACGCTCTACACCCACTACCACCACCCTACACTACACCCACTACCACCACCCTACACTACACCCACTACCACCACCCTACACTACACCCACTACCACCACCCTACACTACACCCACTACCACCACCCTACACTACACCCACTCACCACCACCCTACACTACACCCACTACCACCACCCTACACTACACCCACTCACCACCACCCTACACTACACCCACTACCACCACCCTACACTACACCCACTCACCACCACCTTACACTAAACCCACTACCACCATCCTACACTACACCCACTACCACCACCCTACACTACACCCACTACCACCACCCTACACTACACCCACTACCACCACCCTACACTACACCCACTACCACCACCCTACACTACACCCACTCACCACCACCCTACACTACACCCACTACCACCACCCTACACTACACCCACTACCACCACCCTACACTACACCCACTACCACCACCCTACACTACACCCACTCACCACCACCTTACACTACACCCACTACCACCACCCTACACTACACCCACTCACCACCACCCTACACTACACCCACTACCACCACCCTACACTACACCCACTACCACCACCCTACACTACACCCACTACCACCACCCTACACTACACCCACTCACCACCACCCTACACTACACACACTACCACCACCCTACACTACACCCACTCACCACAACAGGTGGAGCAGGTGTCCACCCCAGGGAAGGAGAGGGACGCCCCCAGAGAGGGTGGGGACGGTACTGTCCAAACAGCCAACACTAACCATGTAGTTAGTGTTGCTAACCATGTAGTCGGGGGCTAACTATCAGCACCAATAAGGACGACACCCAACACTGTGGCTGACGCCATGAGCGTTCTCTCACGCAGTCAACTCACAACACCTTCACAACACTACAAGTCTTCTACAAAATCAATGTATTTGTTAGCTCGCTGCCAATCCGCTTTCGTAAAGAGTTATCAATGCCTTAATTTCCATAAAATAAACAAATCAATAAATTAACAAATATCTGTAAGCGAAGTCAAACTTTAACTGTTGGTATACTTATAAGTAGTTAACACGACACGTGATGCAATGTTGGGTAAGTAATTGTTGTGTTAAACTCTTTCACACTTAACAGTTTCTGTCACACTCAAACCACGAGTCATATAAGTCATAGATCTCTACACCCTAATTCCCATACCATGCACTCTACTCCTTGAGCCCTACACCATGTCTTACACTCCTCCTTGAGCCCTACACCATGTCTTACACTCCTCCTTGAACCCTACACCATGTCTTACACTCCTCCTTGAGTCCTACACCATGTCTTACACTCTTCATTGAGTCCTACACCATGTCTTACACTCTTCCTTGAGTCCTACACCATGTCTTACACTCCTCCTTGAGTCCTACACCATGTCTTACACTCTTCCTTGAGTCCTACACCATGTCTTACACTCCTCCTTGAGTCCTACACCATGTCTTACACTCCTCCTTGAACCCTACACCATGTCTTACACTCTTCCTTGAGTCCTACACCATGTCTTACACTCCTCCTTGAGTCCTACACCATGTCTTACACTCTTCCTTGAGTCCTACACCATGTCTTACACTCCTCCTTGAGTCCTACACCATGTCTTACACTCCTCCTTGAACCCTACACCATGTCTTACACTCTTCCTTGAGTCCTACACCATGTCTTAACACTCCTCCTTGAGTCCTACACCATGTCTTACACTCCTCCTTGAGTCCTACACCATGTCTTACACTCTTCCTTGAGTCCTACACCATGTCTTAACACTCCTCCTTGAGTCCTACACCATGTCTTACACTCTTCCTTGAGTCCTACACCATGTCTTAACACTCCTCCTTGAGTCCTACACCATGTCTTACACTCTTCCTTGAGTCCTACACCATGTCTTAACACTCCTCCTTGAGTCCTACACCATGTCTTAACACTCCTCCTTGAGTCCTACACCATGTCTTACACTCCTCCTTGAATCCTACACCATGACCTACACTCTTCCTTGAGTCCTACACCATGTCTTACACTCTTCCTTGAGTCCTACACCATGTCTTAACACTCCTCCTTGAGTCCTACACCATGTCTTAACACTCCTCCTTGAGTCCTACACCATGTCTTACACTCCTCCTTGAGTCCTACACCATGTCTTACACTCTTCCTTGAGTCCTACACCATGTCTTAACACTCCTCCTTGAGTCCTACACCATGTCTTACACTCCTCCTTGAGTCCTACACCATGTCTTACACTCCTCCTTGAATCCTACACTCCTCCTCGAGGTCTACAAAATAACTTACCCTTAAAAAGCAAGCAGTGACTTACCTGTCGCTACTTACAGCCTTAATTAGTTAAGAAAACACAAATCGCGGCCATATATGCACCTTTACCTTTGATGGAGTTGGACTTCTTCTCAGTGGAAGGTGGGCGGTTGGTGGGCGTGGGCGTGGAGGAGGACGGGGTGGTGGTGTCCACGGCGTCGCCCGCCACCTCCCGCTCCCACCCAGGCCCGAAGAGCTCGCTAAGAATATCCATCTTCGCTAAGCTCTCCTCCGGGTTCTTCAGAAGGGTTCCGAAATCCCACTGGCTTTTGTTGAGGGGATCCAGCTTTGAGGTGTATGGGGACGAGTTATGAGAGAAGGTGTACCAGCGTGTACACGACACAACACTTGTTCAACGGACTCAAACACAAGCCTCATACACTCTTAAACATGCTGGTGTAAGTCACTCAATACACATATATAATGTATTCACACCGAGTTTAGCGGCTAGAGTTGTCACGTCACAAAAGATCGGGTTTCAATCATCTCTGTCTAAAACTAGGTACACACGAATGTATTCCACACAAACACACGAAGGTGCTCAAAATTTACCGGTATTCAGGTAGATATTTGTTTCCATAAAAGCACCAGTGTGTAGCACCTGTTGTGGGTGATAGCGAAAGGTGTTTTGCACCGTGAATCACAATATTGTATTCGTAAAAACACATCCACTGACACTAGGGAAAGGTGAATAAGCTTTTGCGCCACACTGTACGTCAGATAAGATAATGGAGTGGCAGACTGAGGGAGGCGATGACTGCCCCTAGCTGTATGGGATGACTGACAAGTTATCACACTGGCGGCAGCGATGTTAGCCGCCGGGGAGGATAACCGCCCCTAGCTCCACGGAATGACAGGCACAGTTGTCACTCAGGCGACGCTGGTGTCAGCCCTCGGTGACGAGTGCCTGTGGTGCCACAAGATGACCGACACTTGTCACCCGGGAGGTGAGACCCACCCCACCACTGTGTAACCAACGCCGCTGAGGAAGGGCGGCAGGTACTCCGTCAGGCTCAGGCCACGGGTGGTGGGTGTAGCCTCCGGCGGGGTGTGTCGCCAGGTGGTGGTGGGTAGTGCTCATGTAGTGCCCAAGATGGTAATTAGTGGTAGTGGGGAGAGGCCTGGGCGCTCGACCGCGGGCCGGCACACTAACTGTACTGGGCTGGTCCTCTCCACCAACACTCACACTCCCCCGCTACACAAACTTATACTCAACTTTGCTTCTGTTTCCCACTGGCTTATACTTTGTCACAAGTTACGTGTATCAAGTTGAGTGCGGTGTGCGTGGTGAGTGTGCAAGTGTATGTTTGTATACTGCTCTGTGTATATATATGTATTTATATACATATATATATATTTATATATATATATATTTATATATATATATATATTTATATATATATAAATATTATATATATATAAATATATATATTATATATATTTATATATATATGTATATGTGTGTGTGTGGTGTGTGTGTGTGTGTGTGTGTGTGTGTGTGTGTGTGTGTGTGTGTGTGTGTGTGTGTGTGTGTGTGTGTGTGTGTGTGTGTGTGTGTGTGTGTGTGTGTGGTGGGAGGAGGGGGGGGGGGGGGGTGCGCGCGACTCACAGCTCTGGGGTCAATGAACCTTCACTACCTTACTACGGCTACAAGTCCACACGCTGAACTCTCACAAGCTTCTTCCGTTCGTTATATGGAGTATAGAGTGAGAGTGGGCGGTGGTGTGGTGTGTGGTGGGCGGCGAGGGCGGGGTGGGCGGCTGTGGGCGGCGTGAGGGGTTGTGAGAGAGTGGAGGCCACAAGGCCGACTGCACCACAGTGTTGGGGTGAATGACCCTTGGACGAGATATTCCTCGCGCCTTCACAACACTGGCGCCCTTGCTGCCGCTAACACCAGCCCTCCTGCTGCTCCTGCTGGCTCCTGCTGGCTCCTGCTGGCTCCTGCCACACTCCACACTCACCTGCACGTATCTACACCACCACTGTAACACTACACAGGCTCACGTACACTCGGGGGCACCTACACTGTTCACAACACAGGGGTTACACGTGCTGGCACTCTCAGCAACTCACTGCTCACTATCATCTAGCACCATTTTCTGCCGTTTTACCACTAATTTTTTTCTTAACACTCGGACGAGGCTGATCACTTTGAAGAGTTTATCCTGACGAGGAGCTGCCAGCGTGCGGCTTGCGTCAGGTCAGAGGCAGGAGGGTCAACGACCTCTGCGTCAGTAGTGGAGGTAGAGAGTGTCGGCGGCGGTGGGAGAGGACCGCTGTGGCACCGTGCAGCAGCAGCAGCACCTGGAGGCGGTGTCACTGGTTGTGGTGGAGGGTGATGAGGGAGGGAGTGTGAGGACGGAGCGCGCGGCTGGCGGTGTGCGCGGCGCTGTGTTCGGGTCGGTGGCCGCCGTGGCTCTGGCGGGACTAGGTCAGACCGGGAGGAAGTTACCGTACTACTCCACCGCACACACGCACACGCACACGCACACGCACGCCATACACCACCCATACAGCCGGCCACCGCCACGTATCAGCCTATAGCATCGAGGCTGACGGGAGTCCTGCAACACCTGGTCAACACTTCTCTGGCACTTCCGGGTGATACCTATGTTGACTGTGAGTAGCACCACTTGTGTTCCCTCACAACACTCACCGCGCCTCACACATCTCACTCCTCCGTGTGTGTGTACTCACCTAGTTGTGCTTGCGGGAGTTGAGCTTTGGCTCTTTGGTCCCGCCTCTCAACCGTCAATCAACTGATGTACAGATTCTTGAGCCTACTGGGCTCTATCATATCTACATTTGAAACTGTGTGTGGAGTCAGCCTCCACAACATCACTGTCTAATGCATTCCATTTGTAAATAAATTCTTTCTAACGTCTCTGTGGCTCATTTGGGTACTAGGTTTCCACCTGTGTCCCCTTGTTCGTGTTCCATCCGTGCTAAATAGTTTGCCTTTGTCTACTCTGTCAATTCCTCTGAGAATTTTGTAGGTGGTTATCATGTCTCCTCTTACTCTTCTGTCTTCCTGGGGCGTGAGGTTTAGCTCTCGTAGCCTTTCCTCGTAACTCATAATTCTCAGTTCTGAGACTAGTCTGGTGGCATACCTCTGAATTTTCTCTAACGTTGTCTTGTGTTTAACTAGGTATGGACTCCAGGCTAGAGCTGCATACTCCAGGATTGGTCTGACATAAGTGGTATACAGGGTCCTGAACGATTCCTTACATAAGTTTCTGTAGGCAGTTCTTATGTTGGCCAATCTAGCCCATGCCTCTGATGATATCCTTTTGATGTGGGCCTCTGTGGACAGGTTCGGTGTGATATCAACCCCCCCCCCTCTCTCCAGATCTTTTTCTCTATTTGACTCTTGCAGGATATCACCTCCCAGATGGTACCTTGTACTTAGCCTCCTGAACCCTTCGCCTAATTTAATTACATTACATTTTCCTGAGTTAAACTTTAGTAGCCCTTTCCTAGACCATTCCTCCAGTTTGTCCAGGTCGTCCTGTAGTCTCTGTCTATCTTCATCTGTCTTGATTCTTCTCATAATTTTTGCATCATCAGCAAACTTTCACAGGAATAAGTCTAAACCGTCTAGAAGATCGTTTACATATATCAGAAACAGGATGGGGCCAAGTATGGAGCCCTGTGGGACACCGCTGGTGACATCTCACCACTCTGATGTCTCACCCCTCACAGTTACTCGCTGTTCCTGTTGCTTAGATACTTTCTTATCCACTAGAGTAAAAGGTAAAATTACCTTTTATTCCTGCCTATTGATCCAACATTTGCTTTTTATGGGGTACTGTGTCCAAGGCTTTTTAACATCCAAGAAAATAGAGTCTGCCCACCCTTCTCTTTCTTGCCTAATTTGTGTCACCCAGTCAAAGAATTTGATTAAACCTGTGAGGCACGACTTGCCATCCGTGAACCGATGCTGGTGAATTGTTAAGAAGCTATTTCCTCCAGATGTTCTACGAGCCTTTTCCTCGCGATCTTCTCCATCACCTTGCATGGTATACAAGTAAGGGAAACTGGCCTGTAGTTCAGTGCCTCTTGCCTGTCACCCTTTTTGTATATTGAGACTACATTAGCTGTCTTCCAGTTGGTCTCCTCTTTCCGGTGACCTGCTATACATCATAGAGAGTGGCACGTTTAGTGCTTCTGCACCCTCTTTTAGTATCCACAGTGAGATTCAGGCCCAACGGTCTTATAACATTCAGCTCCAACTACTCTCATCAGTTGATCTCATCACCGGTGAGCTCAAATTCCTTCACGGCTGGTAAGTTTGCCGCCTCCTTATTTAGTACAGGGGCTTCTCCTTGCTCTATTACGAAGACCTCTTGGAATCTCTTGTTCAGTTCTTAACACTCCTCCTTGTCATTCTGTTTATCTGTTGCCCACTTTTCTCAGCTTCATCACTTGTTCCTTCACTGGTGTTTTCCTCTAGATGTGGCCGAGGAGCAGTTTTTGTTGGGTCTTGACTTTGCGCTGAGTACTGTGGACTATTTACTGTGTGTCTGTGTTTATTTGTATTTAATTGTATTTACTATTTGTGTCTGCAGAATCGAGCTATTAGCTCTTGGACCCCGCCTTTCTAACCGATCAAGTTTTCCTCTATTATATCCACTTCATATATTTTCTCTAACAAACCCACACATCCCTAGGAAGCAGACCATAGCATTTGTCTAACTCCCAGGTACCTATTTACTGCTAAGTGAACAGACGCATCAGAGTGAAAGAATCTGCCATTTGTTTCTGCCTCCGCCGGGAATCGAATTCGGGCCATTAGGACTACGACCCCCGAGCGCTGTCCACTCAGCCCCCCTCCCCTTCGCTAGCCCCGCGAGTGTGTGTGTGTGTACTCACCTAGTTGTACTCAGCTATTTGTGCCTGCAGGGTCGAGCTCTGGCTCTTGGACCCGCTATTCTAGCCGTTGGTTGTCTAATACAATGACTCCTGACCTGATCCCTATCATACCTGCTTTTAAAGTTATGAATGGAGTTAGCCTCTACAACCTGCTCCTTTAGGTCATTCCATTTACTCACTTCCCGCATGCTAAAGGAAAACTTTCTAACATCTCTATGACACACCTGAGTCTCCAGCTTCCATCCGGGCCCCCGTGTTCTGTTGAGATTTATTGTAAACATTTCCTGTTTCCTCCTTGTCAATCCCTCTAAGTATTTTATACGTCTGTATCATGTCTCCCCCTCTCTCCCGCCTCCTTTCTAACGTCGTCAGGTTTAGTTCCTTCAGTCTGTCTTCGTACCTCATCCCTCGCAACTCTGGGACGAGTCTCGTTACAAACTTGTGCACCTTTTCCTTGTGCTTCCTTATGTGTTTGTTAAGATGTTGGCTGGACGATGGGGCGGCTTACTCTAAGACTGGCCTCTCACAGGCGGTATACAGTGAGCTAACAACCTCCTTATTCACGTCTCTGAAGGATGTTCTGACTTTTGTCAGAGTAGAGTATACGGCTGACGTTATTATATTTATATGAGACTCTGGAGTTAGGTTTGGTGTTATGTCCACTCTCAGGTCTTGTTCTCTTGTGTGTGTACTCGCTTAGTTGAACTCACCAGGTTGTGCTTGCGGGGGTTGAGCTATGGCTTTTTGGTCCCGCCTCTCAACTGTCAACCAACTTGTGTACAGGTTCCTCACAGTGTTCAAGAGAGAACTATCAACATCAGAGGCCCGAGACTGTTCAACGCGCTTCCACTACACATAAGAGACATAACTGGCCGACCCCTCACAGTGTTCAAGAGAGAACTATCAACATCAGAGGCCCGAGACTGTTCAACACGCTTCCACTACACATAAGGGAAATAACTGGCCGACCCCTCACAGTGTTCAAGAGAGAACTATCAACATCAGAGGCCCGAGACTGTTCAACACGCTTCCACTACACATAAGGGAAATAACTGGCCGACCCCTCACAGTGTTCAAGAGAGAACTATCAACATCAGAGGCCCGAGACTGTTCAACACGCTTCCACTACACATAAGGGAAATAACTGGCCGACCCCTCACAGTGTTCAAGAGAGAACTATCAACATCAGAGGCCCGAGACTGTTCAACACGCTTCCACTACACATAAGGGAAATAACTGGCCGACCCCTCACAGTGTTCAAGAGAGAACTATCAACATCAGAGGCCCGAGACTGTTCAACACGCTTCCACTACACATAAGGGACATAACTGGCTGACCCCTCACAGTGTTCATGAGAGAACTATCAACATCAGAGGCCCGAGACTGTTCAACACGCTTCTACTACACATAAGGGACATAACTGGCCGACCCTTCACAGTGTTCAAGAGAGAACTATCAACA